GGGGCTGGTTCTAATCTTACTTGAAGGCGAAGAACCATTTGGCAATTTACACCCCTATACGAACGTCAAGTTTCTGACCAGAACTGTAATTTATATGCAAATGTCAAAAGGCTAAAAGGGTCTTTTAAGCCATAAACAGTCCAACACACCAGCATGATCCTACGCAGACGCTACAGCCCCCCTTTTGGCTGACGAAGTTCACCTCCACACATCGTCAGACAACAGTTTTCATGATGGTCGGACAGCAGGTGGATCATGATGATCGGGTAGCAGGGGGATCATAATGGCTAGATGGCAGTTGGGTCCTGAAGGCCGGATGGCAGGTGGATCCTAATTTTCGGATGCCAGGTGGATCAGGATTGTCAGATGGCAGGTGGATCCTAATTTTCCTCAGCCTTCGCATCCTCAGCGGGGGTGTTAACCTTGGTCAGGTTCAGCATTGTCTCTGCCTGGGTCCCTCTCTTCCGGTGGCTCTGTTTGAAGGTTCGAGGAAGGGCAGCTGTGCACCTGTTCATGGACCTTTGCACCCCGTTGACTCTGTTAAACAGGACAAAGGCCAGGCCGAGGGTTAGGGTGTACCCGATTGCTGTGGCAAGGCAAAGTGTTGTGTCGGCAGAGGTCCAGGATCGAGCGACGGGAAAGGTGTTCTGGACAGGCATCCGAGACAGTGCTTGGAGGGCTGTGTCGATTGGGGTGATGTCAATTGTCTGGGCCCACCCTTTCTCAATGCTCAGTTCCAATTCAGGTTCCATGGTGAGAATGTGGTCCCTGAAGAAGGCTGGCATTTCTACCTCGGATTGGTACTCTTCACTTGGAAGGTAGTACAGCGCCAGGTCACAGAGGTGAAGGATGGCACCTTTGGGCACTTGAAGTTGTTGGGCAAAAGCAAATGTGGTTCTCAAATGCCGGTGTAGTTCATCAAGGTATTGATGAGTGGTGTAGGCGGTGACAAGGTTGGAGTCTCCTGGCTTGTACAGCAGGTGCAAGGGCAATGTCATTTGCCGGCCTGTCATTAGTTCAAAAGGAGGCACACCTGTTGATTCTTGTGGAGTTGCTCTGATAGCCATGAGCACCAGGGGCAGTTTCACATCCCAGTCCTTTTGGTTAGCAGACACATATTTTCGTAGCATGCTGACCACCGTCCTATTCGTCCGTTCCACTTGGCCCGAAGAAATTGGATGGTGACTGATGTGCAGTTGTGCTTGTACTCCCAGGAGTTTCCAAATCTGCTGCATGATCTCAGCTGTGAAATGGGTGCCTCTGTCTGAGTTGACTCTCAGCGGCAGCCCGAACCTGGAGAAAATGTGATTCAACAGGAGGTATGCTGTAGTTTGAGCAGTGTCATTGGGTGCTGGGAGACATTCTACCCACTTTGTGAACTGGCACACGACAGTGAGGAAATACTTGTTGCCTCTTGTTGACCTTGGTAGGGGTCCGACCCAGTCAATTTGAAGGTCTGACCAAGGAAACGTGACTCCTCTGCGCTGTAGTGGGGCTCTGTGGTTTGGGTTACCAGGTTGGAGTTGGCAGCAGACAAGGCATCCTTTCACGTACTCTGCCACATCTTGCTGCATGCCGGGCCAGTATGCCACTTGTTTGAGTGTCTCATAAGTGGCTCTTGTGCCGTGGTGTCCCGCACATGGTGCGTCGTGAGCATACATCAGCATCACCCCCCTTAGGCAGTGTGGCACCACAAGCCTTGGTGCAGTGAGGTCATCAGGGGCATAAAACAAGATGTTGTTTATCACACGCAGCATGTGTGTTA